AACTTCCTCACCATTTAGAAATTCTGTGACTACACAGTCTTTTCCCTCTTTTTGTTTGTAGTTGTCCTCACTTGCCAATTGATGTCTCTGGTTCCCTGTTCACAATCTTGTAAGCTCATTTTACTTTGGATATGTCCATAGCTCCCCACAGCACTCTGAGAACCACTGTGCTAGAAGAACTGAAGGGGAGACCACCGGGAGTTTACAAGTCATGAAGCTGGGCATGATTTGGTTAGGGGCTGGCGTTAGGGCAGGGCAAGGAGAGAACAATGTGAGCCCAAGTGCACCCCCAGGAAAGCCCAGGAGCAGTTGGGATTCCAGGAATAGTCTGAAGGCAGCAGGATCAGGGATGTGACCAGGCTGAAAAGGTAGGTGAAGGTCGTTTGTATAAACCTTGAGAGACAAGCTAAGAAGACTGACTGTCAAATAATGTCTTATGTGTCTTTTTTGTTGTTGTTGTGTCCCACTGAGTCGATTCTGACTCATAGTGACCCTATAGGACAGAGTAGAACTGCCCCATAGGATTTCCTAGGCTGTGATCTTTACAGGAGCATAGTGCCAGGTCTTAGCTCCTGTGGAGCTCTGATGGTGTGGTGCCTAAGGCATTTGACTGCTAACCAAGAGGCTGGTGGTTCAAACCCACCAGCCACTCCTCAGAGAAGGAAGGTTGGGCAATCTACTTCCATAGTGATACCATCTCAGAAACCCGAGGAGGGGTCACTATGAGTCGGATCTGACTTGATGGCACTGAGTTTGGTTTTTGGTTTGGTGACTCCGGTGGAGCTACTGGGTGGTTTTGAACCCCTGACCTTTCAGTTAGCAGCTGAGCACTTAATCAGTGACCACCAGGGCTCCTTTATGTATCTTACCCCATTTCTGTTGAGTCAATTCCAACTCATAGCATCCCCCACTGGTTTTCTGAGGTGGAAAATCTTTATGGAAGTAGATTGCCCCATCTTCTTTCCACGGAGTGGCTGGTAGGTTTGAACCACAAACCTTCTGGTTAGCAGTCAGATGCCTTAGGCACTGTGCCACCAGAACTCCTTCAATAGTCAATATATTAAATAACTTATTTATTATTATTTAACTCTAGCGCCTATTTTAAATGTATCTATAAACATATATAGAGAGTAAGGATTTGCAAATGGCCAAATCTGTGTTCTGGATTCATGGTGAATCTAGATTATTCTGCATGCCCCTAGGGGTCTGGAATCTGATGATTCTGGAAGCTGATGAAACATAACCCATGAACCATTTAAGCTGCTGACATCTTGCATAGATGTTACAAATAAGTTGTAATGATGTATTTACCCGTTTTGTTGGCATACCAAATCCTTGTGGTATTTGCATACACGTGGGTTAACTTAAGTTCTGTCACTAAAAACCCAGCTTCCAGGGAGGTTATAAACTGCTGCTGGAAGCTGCCTGCCAGTGCTCCACACCCTGCCTGGGGGAACCTGTCTGGAGTGGGAATAAGGTTGGAGTCTTGTGCCAATTCAGTCTTTGCTGTGTGCTTGGCCTAAATCCAGACATGACTCAGACAGGCTCTTATCTGGCAGGAAGCTGGCTGCATGTGCGTTCTCAGATGTTAATGGAAATATATGACCAGATTTTATTTTCCTTTTCTAACTTTTTATTGTGATTTGGGTGCAATTTTACAAAGAGAATTCGTTTTGCACTCAACAGTTGGGATACATTTTGTTTTGTGACACTGGTTATGTTCCCTGCAGAGTAACAGCTCTCTTCCTACTTCCTTCCTGTGGCTACCCTTTCCCGGTGTCCTTCTTTCCTGTGCATTCCTGCCTGCCTAGCTTTCTTCCTGTGCAAATGCTGCCCTTCTGATTTCCCATGATTGACTGTGCTACGAGTGCATCTCCTTGGTGTAGGTGTTCCGCGTGTAGGCCTGTCTATTGTTTGGCTGACAGTTAAGCCATGGGAGTGAGTTCAATTCCAGACCCAAAGGGTGACTCAAGGCCATATATAGACTTGGGGGTCTCACCAGACAAGTAAGCCTGGTCTTTTTTTTATGATTTTTAGTTTTGTTCTACATTTTCCTTCCACTTTATACAGGATCTCCAATTTTGATCCCTTTTCGAATAGTTGGCATTGGTAGCTGGGCACCATCTAGTTCTTTTGGTCTCAGGGTCATACGGGTTAAGGGTCACATAGTCCATTAGACCTCTGGACTATTTCCATGTGTCTTTGATTTTCCTTCATTCTTCTTTGCTCTGGACAAGGAGAGACCAATAGTTGCCACTTAGATGGCCACTCGTAAACTTTTAAGACCCCAGTCACTACTCACTGAAGTAAGATGTATACCATGTTTTGCCAGTTGAGTTTGATGTCTCCTGTGACCATGGTCCCCAGCCTGCAGGCCCAGTGGCCCGCTCCCTCAAGGTGCCTATCTGTAGCTAAGAAGTTATCCTAACTTTGTGTTGTTATGTTTAAACTGCATGTGGACATCTTTATAGGATATACAAATGCGTATGTAGTACTATGTATGACCAGGTTTTAAGGGTGCTATGTGGATAGGGGAAAATCTAGTTTGATATTTTTCTGGTTCCCTAGTGCCACTTTGACAAGAATATACCACCAATGGGATGGCTTTAACAAACAGGAGTTTATTCGTACAATTTGGAGGCTTTAAGTTCAAGTTCAAAGTGCCAGGCTCTAGCTGTTGGGTGAATGCCCCTCAACCTTGGGCTTCTGTCTCCTGCTCCTGGCCCACTGAAGCTAGAGGCTTTTCTTAACTCAGACAGCTTCTGGCTGCCGAGACTAACAAGCCCGAGGTTGACAAGTAAAAAGGCACAGTCCCGATGTTACCAAACCACACAGCAGGCCATTAATTCAAGTCCATTGAAATTCCCAAGGTCGGCAGAGCATGGCAGGCTGCTGAACAGTGACAGGGCTACATGCAGGGTTCAAGTGTGCCATAAGCTAGAGACCATTCCCAAAGCAGTTTCTTATACACAGAAGCAGACCACATCCCCAAAGCAGCTACTCAGCTGCTCCAGTAGATTCCACCATCGAGTTCATTACCAATCTCGTGGGGAATAACTACATCCAGCTGCCCAGCCACTCAACCAGGCCGCGCCAAGTTGACACACAAACTTCACCACCACAGATATCAACACATGTTTCGAAGGAAGAAAGGTCACTGAGCTCTGGCTGTGGAGCCATCCTAGACTTCAGCGCTCTGCACCATACAGCAGTCTGGGTGGCCCGGGAGTCCCTCCGGCGTACGTAGGAGGTAAATTGTTATTTATTTTTTTTCAAGGCAGGAAAGTGGATATTGCAAGGAAGAAAAATGGTAAGGCTACCAAGGGTATGTGGAACTGGCAGCTACTCCACTGTGTAACTTGAAAGGGGTCTAATAGATTAGTTTGCTGCTGGGAGCGTGTGATCTGGGAGCACTTACTCCTCGTGAGAGAGCAGGAAGAAAAGAGAAATTGTTAATAACCCCTCTTAGGGAGATAGAATTTCCTCCAGAAATTTGTGAATTTACTTGTCTGCCAAGTTAACAGAACACTGACTGTAATTATCTTTTCACTTAGTTACCCATAGACTATGTTCTTAAAAACCCATGGTACAAAAATTAGTAGCAGACTTGAAAAGCAGCCATCTGTCTGAGAAAGAGTTCCAGGTTGGCTGGACAAGGTGAAGTCTTGTGACTTATCCCCTGGGCCAGGTCTGCAAGCACAAGACTTGGACTTCTCCTCTAGCTGTGGCCCTGAACCAGATCAGAGGTCCTCTCCACAGCAGGGTGAAGCCTTGTGTCCTGGGACCATGCGCAATGAGCAGTGGCCATAACTAGAGAAGTGGGAAGGCTGCCGCCTTTCGCAGCCTGAGAGCCCCCTGGGGGCCTGCCCCTCATAGTACCCCACGGGCCCCCGTAGGTCCCCCTTCATGGATGGACTAGGATGGCATAACAAGCAAAAACCTCAAAGCCAATGGCCCTCCCTAATACCTGGATAAAGCAGGTTATCTGTATAGGATGGAGAACAAACTGGCTCCGTAAACTTCCAAGTTACCAAATAAAAACATCAATAAAAGATATACAATAAAAGCGTGCTAATAATCATTTATTGTTTATATACAGCAGAAGGGTCTCTTCTTACAGGTGTCAGAGGGTGGGGGGAGACGGTGACCTGGAGTACACACGGGTGTCACCCTCACTGTGGCAGGGAGGGCTAGACTTTGCTACATTCGTGTGCAAGTCGTGTATGCTTCTCAAGGGAATCCTTGAATCAGCAAGGCCTCTTAGTTCTTCAGAAAAGGGAGGGAGAGATTTGGACACTGAAGGAAAAGCCAGCCGGGATTCAGCTCCCCTGCCATAGAAAGCCAGCCTCTAAGGCTGACCCCGCCCCCTCTGCCCCGCCCCGCCCCGCCCCGCATGTAAGGCTGACCCCGCCCCTCTGCCCCGCCCCGCCCCGCATTTACGGCTGACCCCGCCTCTTCTGGTTCCCGCGTTTCTGCTTCCTCCTGCGGAACCGCTTCTGGAGCTGCAGCTTGTTGGTGAAGAACAGCTCCTTCCAGCCGATGTCCTCCGCCAGGGCCCTCATGTCGGGGGTAACGGTGTCACATGCAGACTGGACGATCTGCTCCCACAGTTTGTCACATACGCACAACTATGGGTGGAAAGAGTCGGAAGTGGGTTACGGGACAGACGGAGGGGCTGAGTAAAAGTCATTCACTGAAAAACAGACAAGCACCGAGCGTCACAGGGAGTCAGGTGGAGTTAATGCAAGGCACTGACGGACGGGCGAAGGGACAATGAGATACTTCTGTCAGGAAAGCTTCTAACACAGCCACACAAGAACCAAGAGGGAGGAAACAAGAGGGTGTTAGAGACTTTGTTGTTGTTTTGTTGTTATGTGCCGTCGAGTCGGCCCCAACTCATAGCGAGCCCTCCTTGGGTTTCCGAGGCAGTATCACTACAGAAGTAGGATTGCCCAACCTTCCTTCCGAGGAGGGGCTGGTGGGTTTGAACCGCCAGCCGTCTGGTTAGCAGGCAAGTGTCTTAGCCACTATGCTACCAGAGCTTTAGGAGACAGAAACAAACACACTGCGGTGGCGTCAATTCGGACTCAGGGCGGCAGTCCCATGTGGTCAGAGCACCGCTGTGCCCCATGGGGTTTTTTTTGTTTGAAGCAGATGGCCAGGTCTTTCTTCCCAGGCACCTCTTGGTGTACTTAAACTTCCAACCTTTGGGTTAGCAGCCAACCGTTGTAACCATTTGCAACGCCCAGGGGCTCCTTAGGAGAGAGAAGAGGGCTTAAAATAGATCCTTCAGAGGCTGAGAGAGATTAAGTTCCTTAAGAAAAGAAAGTGTTTTATAAATATTAGGTAGTCTTAGTCTTAGAAACTCGATGGCAGTGGGTTTGGTATTTTTTTGTTGTTGTTTTTAGTCTTAGAAAACATTGCCTTTCGTTCTGAGGTAGGTTGTTTTTTTTTTCATGTCAGGTACATGTGCAAAAAATATTGTCTCCTGAACATAGGAAAAGAGGAAAATGACGGGACAAAAGCCTTCTCCCATACTGAAAGATGTTGTGAAAGCAGGTAATTGTATTTGAGACGAGAATGTATTGTTCTGAGGCCACCTTCAGACTGATGCATGTTTTGCCCTATCTGGAAACCCAGTCTGTGACAGAGACCATGGTGCCCAGCAAATGTCCCACTTGTTTGCCCACCGTTCCCTGTTCCTTCTGCTTAGCTGGGGCTTTGCAGTTAGTTCTGGCCAAAGGGCTGTGGCTGGAAGTGACACACTGAAGAAGACAGTGGGGCATGTCCCTCATGCTCTTTTCCCTGCCATGGTGACAAAGGACCACATGTTTCAGATGGTGTGGCTGCAAGATGGTGGAGTCTCAAGCAGCCTGAATCCCTGAACTGATGCAGGACCTCCCCCTACCCACCCACCCACCCACACACTGGATAAGAATTGTGCATGAAAAGACAAAGATGACTGTGTGAGGCCACTTGAGTTTTGGGTTTGTTTGTGATCCCAAGCCACAGCCTGGAACCTAGTCCATCTTGACATGGTTATTGTGCAAAGTTCTTGAATTTTCCTCACACTCCTTCTACCGCCACCCCTGGCCCACCCTTGGCTCTGTCTTGCTCTGCTCCCATGCATCCTGACTTCTCCCTGGGGAGGGGAAAACCCATGTAAGCATTATCTCCATCTTATCACAGCCACTTCTGAAGAGAGAGCAGCCTGTGCTCTTGTTTACAAAAGCCCTGTGGTCAGGGATAAGACTGCCTTACAAAGAGGAATGAGCAATACAGCAATCACTTATGATCCTCTCTGCATGAATGCCAAGGCAATGGCTGGGAGATCATATAACGAAAGCACCGTGCAAAAGCAGCACTGAATTGTATGCCATTTGCAGCCCCCAAGCATCTTGATGTTAGGTAGGTCATTATCTCACCCTGCCTTTAATGGTCCCTTCCAGATTTTGTTTCTCTACTCTGATTATAAGGAGCTCTGGTAGCACAGTGGCTAAGACACCTGACTGCTAACCAGAAGGCTGGTGGTTCAAACCTACCAGCCACTCCTCGGAAGGAAGATGGGGCAATCTACTTCCGTAGTGATACTGCCTCGGAAACCCAAGGAGGGGTCGCTATGAGTCAGGTCTGACTCGACGGCACATAACAACACCACCACCACCACTCAGATTATAACATATTCTAAACAGAAACTCTGCAAAGGCATTCAACTGTGTAGATCATAATAAATTATGGATAACATTGAGAAGAATGGGAATTCCAGAACAGAACATATGTGCTCATGTGGAACCTATACAGAGACTAAGAGGCAGTCGTGTGTGCCAGGGTTTTATCCTTCCACCATACTTCTTCAATCTGTATGCTGAGCAGATGATCTGAGAAGCTGGACTATATGAAGAAGAACATGGCATCAGGACTGGAGGAAGACTCATTAACAACCTGCAATGTGCGGATGACACCACCTTGCTTGCTTGCAGAAAGCAAAGAGGACTGGAAGCACTTACTGATGAAGATCAAAAAAAGTTTCAGTATGAATTACACCTCAACATAAAGAAAGTAAAGATGTCACCTTGAAGACTAAGGTGCCCCTGACCCCAAGCTATGGTATTTTCAGTTGCCTCATATGCATGTGAAAGCTGGACAATGAATAAGGAAGATCAAAGAAGAATTAATGCCTTTGCATTATGGTGTTGGCAAAGAATATTGACTACAGCTTGGACTGCCAGAAGAATGAACAAATCTGTCTTGGAAGTACAGCCAGAATGCTCCTTGGAAATGAGGATGGTGAGAGTTCATCCCACGTACGTTGGATGTGTTATCAGGCAGGACCAGTCCCGGGGGAAGGACATGACGCTTGGTAAAGGAGAGGTCAGCATAAAAGAGGAAGACCCTCAAGGAGATGGGTTGACACAGTGGCTGCCACAATGGGCTCAAACAAAGCAACAATTGTGAGGCCGGCACAGGACCGGGCAGGGTTTCGTTCTGTACTACATGGGGTCACTGTGAGTGGAACCAACTTGATGGCACTTAGTATTAACAACAAGAGAAAACTTTCAGAAAATTTCTTAATAAAAATTAAAACAGATTTTCTGAACTTGCTTTAGAAGAGATAAAATTTGATACTAACAGATGATTGGTTACCCATGTATTCTCACAGTACATTTCAGGGGGTCAGTGTGTCCTGTGTAACAGATTATAAGAGAAGACTACAAGGCAGGGGCTGAGGAGGAGCAAAAAAAAAAAAAAATCAAAATAGACCTAGTGTTTCCAGCGGTGTAAATTCATTTCAAGGAGCTCGGGGGTACAGTGATCAAGTGCTCGGCTGCTAACCAAAAGGTCAGTGGTTCGAACCCAAAAGCTGTTTCGTGGAAGAACGATGTATCAGTCTGTTTCTATAAAGGTTACAGGTTTGGAAGCCCTTAGGAGCAGTTCTACTCTGTCCTCTAAGGTCACTATGAGTTGGGATATACTTGACGGCAACGGGTTTGGTTTATAGGAACTGTATTTCTGATTCATCGTATTTTATACTGAAAATACAGAAAACACTTTTGTGTACAAAATATCCCTTTTCTGAGATCTCCAAACCCGAGGACTCTTTAGTCTTTAGATGCCAGGTTACAAAACACAAGGTAACATTCCCATTAGGGTTCCAGCCAACTTTGACGGAACCACTACTCACCGCGGATTTAGCGCCCTCTGGTGGTTTTGTACACATCTGAGATACATCAAACCAAACCAAATCAAACTCATTGCTATCCAGAGGATTCTGACTCACAGCTGGCTTTCCAAGGCAGTAAATCTTTACAAAAGTAGACTGCCCCATCTTCCTTCCATGGAGCAACTGGTGGGTTTGAACTGCCAACCTTCTGGTTAGCAGTCAAATGCCTTAGGCACTGTACC